TTTTCTCCTCGCAGAGCCTTCGGTGGGGCGTCCTTGGAGCTGCCGTGAGCCGCCCGCCGCTCGGACGCGCGGCCGCCCAGCAGAGGTAACGCCAACATGCGTCCAGCGCCGCTCTGGGCGAAGCTCTGGTTCCGTTTTCTGCCGTCGTCGGCCTGCAGACACCGACAGCTCCCATCTGTCCTCCTGGAAGGCGCCATCAGTGGATGTGGCCTAACGAGCCCACTTCTTCTGGTGCCTCCTGCCAAGTCCGCCACCACCGAGAGGCCGTTTTCTGTAGATGAGTCACAAACCACACCGGAGACAGTCCCCTTGTGGTGTTATTCTATACCCTCTCCCTCTTCTCCAGAGCTCTACCAGCTGCCAGGGGACAGATACTGTGGTCAAAGATCTCACGATGGAAAATGCTGTGGAGAGATTTAAAAAAGAAAGCCCCCAAAGTGCGGATTTTGAAGTGGCCTGGTTTCCTTTAAGCAGCGGACCCGCATGTTGTGTCAGCACAATATGCAAAATATTTTCTTCATGCGCCCCTGTCTGCTCCATCAGTTAACCAAAAACTGGCCCAACCAACAGCAGACAGGTGCTAAGTACCTCTGGAAACTGGTTTTGGGGGAGAGGGCCGTACAGCAGAGCACACAGCACTAAGAACGGCAGCGGGTGTGTTAATTTTATTACTTCGATGCCTCAAACTTCTGGTTTTGAGGTCCCGGTGCACTCCAGAGCGTGGCAGCAGGACAGCTCAGGGATGGTCCTGCCGAAGACAAAGGCTGGCAGAGCGCCGGGTTTCGGAACACAGGAGGTGGTTTTTGGGCACGGGCCGGTCTGGTCTGCAGTTGCAGGTGGTCCCTAACGGCCCTTCGCAGTCCGTTCAGCGCTTCACCCCCGGGGACGCTCGCAGGGCACCAAGATGACAGCGGCTCTGTCGACTCCCGGCAGCGTCGGCCGCGCCAGCTGAATTAACCTACCGTCGGCTTCCTGTGGATAGTCACGATATGGATGTCCTCGCTGCGGTACTCCTCGTCGTGCTTCTCCAGGGGGATTTTTTCCAGCTCAAAGTCCACCTGAAGCAGCTGGTTATCGGAGAACACACAAAACAATTCACGTGACACCGACCGCCCTTTTGAACGAAGCGTGCTGAGGGAAAAAGGTCCCACCACGCACCGCAGGAGGGCAAGAAGGGGCTCACGCTCAGACCGTTCCTCTGAAGGCCTCTACAAATGTGCAGCCATTTTTCCCCGCCCCGTGCAGCACATTTACCCTCGTTTTAACTACCCCAGCGCCAGGTCAAAGCCACAGACACCTTGCAACGTTTTAGAAAAAATCTGAAAGCTTGTGATGAAACATTTTGCTTCCTCCAGTCTCCAAGCCAAACCACAGCACCTGCCTCTGTCTGCCAACCTTCTCGAGGGGAGAGGGAAGGCTAAAAACCACCCAGCGTCGACTCTGCAATGCGCTCATGAGATTAACTTGGCTGAACCCCGGCAAGCGAGGGAAGGAAATAAATTACAAGAAAGCAAAAATCATCCAGGAACACCTACACCTATTGTGTTTATTGTGGGAGCGGCACCTCACCAGAGCTGATCTCAGTTATAGCAACCCTCCTCGCCGTCAGGTCCCCACAAGAGCTCGAGGCACGGCTAATTATCCAAGAGGTGCTTTTATTAACACGTACAAATCACCCTGGAATTCTCGCCCTTCCCCCTTTTTGGAGCATTGTCGTTACGGATCACCCAGTACTCCTGCACAAGGGCTGCTTTTCAGCCGACTGCAGGGGTGCAGAGTTAAACCTTGCACTGACTGTCATCCCCACACCCTTGGGAGGGATTCGGCCGTTACCTCTTTCCCCATCTTCTTTACCTGCACAGCAGATACAGCTGGACTATTTAATTACAGCACCTACTAATGCTCTCTCAGTAGAGGGGGGAAATGTTTGCAAAAGCAGCTGTATCGCTTAGCAGAGAGTCTTGAGTTCCTGAGCTACTCTGGAAAAACTTGCCCTGTATTTTCCCCTCTGCTTTCAGTGGAACTTGCTAAAAGAAAATAAGTTTTCACCAGACTAAGTTTTAATCCTCCCAATAACCTCTGGTACCATTGAGACAACCACTGCAGAAAGAAGGCAGCAGCCCGACCCCGCTCGTTCACTTGTTCCTACAAAAATGATGGGTTTGATTTTGACAGGTTTTGCCTCACGTATGTACGGTGGCCCTGTTGCAAATCTGGTCGGCAGCACAAGCTGGAGAGGCTTTTAAGAACCTACGCCAGTCTGGCTGCCTGGGTCAAAAGCATCAATACAGTTAAAATCAGTAAGGCAAGAAAGGTTAGCTCAACCTTCTGAGGGAAGGAAAGCCCAGTAAGTATCCAGGAAAGTCTCTACTGCTAAGTTGGACAATAACTTCAAGGGTCACCACTGAGATTTTCTGGCCAATCTAAAGACAAATGTGCTTCTCCTCCTACAAACTCTACTTTGTGCAGCCAACCTGAAATTGTACATGTAGCAACTGCCACTGACATCCAGCTGATCCAGTACAAAGACCTCCTGCATCCAAGCTGTTTTCCCAGTGTTTAAAAAGCACACGTTAAAAACACTTACCTCAAAGTATTTCCTCTCAATTTCAGGGTTCTTTCCCATAGTCCTCTGTTCGTAACAGCACAAGACGCACGTATCGGGGCCAGTAAGGTCCTTCAGTGTCTTCAGCAAGGGTTCTAACGACTGCCCAAAAGAGGTTAAGTATTTCAAGTTCATTTTACTGGTACAATACCCTCTAATAACTAGAGAAAGTCTTCACCCAAGAGAGAACTTTCCAGTTTTGCTTTTCAGGGAGCTATTTTTAGTACTTTAACTGGGACAAAAAGAACATGGGGGCAAGCTGGAAAGCAGAGGAGAAAGGGAGACTGCACAGGAGAAGAGTTTCACAGACCGACCAGGAAAACTGAACTAGCATCAAAGCCAAAACCATCCCACACTGCTGAGGAAGCATTTCCTCGAGGCTCACAACAACGACTATTTCTCAACGTGTTCGAAAAGCGAGTTTTCTCAACCATTCTTGGAACACAAGGCTCAGATCCAGACCACCACGTACGGACACAGGACCAACATGCAGGGAGCCAGTGGGAGGGGCTGGTCAGACCACTGGAAGGGCACTGGGACGTGGGGTTCCTCAGGTCATTTCCCTTTTCCTCCAACGTCTGTGAGCTCTCTGTGCACATCCTACAGAGCTCCAGCTGAGGAGGTGGGGCAGACCCGACAATCGCTTTAGCTGGCGCATGGTTTCTCCTTTTGACTTCCCAAGGGAAGTGTGAGGAGAACCCAAGCGGTGCAGATGTGGCACTATTAAACTTCATTTATCCATGCATTAAACACTTCACAACTATCAGTCACAATGTTTCGCTTCACACTTCATTCCCAATGTAAAAAAAAAAATGAATTAAAAAAAAAAAAAAAAAAAAACAGAACAACAACGGGGGAGAGGAAGGCACAAATATTAAGTTTGGGGGCTTTTTTAAACATAAAAAAAGTTTGAATCCCAAATGGCCCTGAATCTGTTCAGAATACCTTTTCCAGTCTTGTTCTACATATTCCTCTAAACCACAGGGACCGAGATATTTATTCGAACGCTTCTCGCGCTGAACCCACTCCCTTCCCAAGGAAGCTCTCTAGGGGTTTTGCAAGGTCCTCATTTACCTCCTCATAGTAAATGCAATCAGCCATTAGTATATAATCGGGTGGAGGCTGAAACTCTGTTACATCTTCACCCCTAAAAAGAAGCAAAGAAAGGTGAAAACAAGCTTCAGTAATAACACAACACGGATCACTAAAGGACTGAGCATTAACTAC